TTGTGGTTTTTTTTGTAAAAGTACTTTTAAATATTTTTTTCAATTCATTATGAATTATTTCCCAATAATCTTTAACCCTTTTACAGGTCCACCACATATGATATGAGGTGCCTGTTAAGTCTGCCACTACAGACATTTTAACGGGTTTTTGAAAATTCCGCCCAGACACCATTTTCGATGGACAAATCCCGGCTACGTCCGGAAAATTCCGGTTGTGTGGCAGCCCTATGTTAACAAGTCTTTGAACGTGTCCCAGAAGCTGAATGTCACCCATTGCATACTGCCCAACCCCCAGTATTCATCAACCAGCAAAAACAGCAGACTAAATACAGGAGAAAATAAGTTCAATATATAATTAATTAATTAATTAATTAATTCAGCATCAGCACCATTGCTTTTGGGGATGAGAGACCCTGAAGAGTCACCATGCCATATGTGGTTGCTATGGAAATAGCTGTCTCCTCCAATGTAGTATACTCAACAATGGAAACCGTTCCTGTGAATTTTTGGTGCATGCTCCACTGAGCATTGAGCGCTGCCAGAGAAGAACGAGAATTTGCAGCTCTAAGCTTCAGTTGTACTGAAAACCAGGAAGAAGAGATATCAGTCACCTGCATGGATGCCGTAATTCCACAGGAACACAAGGAAACAAGGAGAAGGTGCCTTGCCTGCAGAATTTGGCCTCTAAAGAGGCTCAGCTTTCATTTTAAAAAAAAGTTTCCAGTCCTTATGGTTATATTGAAAGTAAGGGGAAAATACCTGGTGAATCTCAGAAGGCGAAGGGGTAACTGAGTGCTATTTCCAGCCAGTGGTCCATGTGTCCCTGACTGCTCTTTAGTGCTCCCATGAGGAAGAGAAACAAAATGCATGTTGCAGAAAAGTGAGACATTCTCCATCACTCCATGTCCTACTCTCTTGTGGCATCTGTCTGCCTTGAAAGATTGCTCTATAAATATTAATTTAATCCAAGAGGAAGGAACAGATATCTATCCCATCCAAACCTCTCGACTGCCCAAACAGTGGCTTGTTTCGACAAACGGTATCAAATTTAAAATCCTCACGCGCTCTCAGAATCAATTATGGCAACTTTTCATTAATTGGAAGGAAATAATAAACTTATCCTTTGCTAATGAACTCTTCTGCATTTGGCCTTTGAGTGAGGACCGCTTCAGCAGGAAAACTCAATCAAGCCAAGATAACAGCTAATCAAGAAACGTACATTTTGCTGTTAGGAACGAGAAGCAAAATGAAAAGCAGATTTGGGGGTTTTAGTGTCAGGGGAGTCTGCTCCCCCCACCCACTTGAAAAATCCTTACAAAGAGAAAATGTAAGTCTCCTCATTCGCACCCCAACGCAGATCAGAATCCTGGTAAGTATTCCTTTCCATAGTTCATTATTTTATCATCATTCTTGTTTGTTTGTGTGCATATTTTTGTCATTCCTTCAACAGGGATCCTATATTAGATCATATCCTCACCCTATTCCATAATAGTGTAACACACATCCTCATGCCTCCGCTGAAGGTTGTTGCAGGAATTTATGTATGGGTTGGGGGGGTTGCCCCTCCAGCAGATATCATGCACATGCAGCCCACTACCAAAATCAGCACAATCACTTTTGTGACTTTTGTGATTTGTCCCCACAAAACACTTCATCACAGTTTCTTCCTATCTATTCAAAGGGCCTCTGCTGCACAATACCAAATGTAACAATTCACTGATAAATGTATCTATGTACTGGCTCACTGGGAAAACTTCAGAAATTCATATAGACATGTGAGCTCAGCTACTCAGCAGCCCCTCTGCCTGAGCATCCTGATACCTGAGTGCCAGACAGGTAGCCATTCCAGAAATAACAAACCCAGATGAAGACAAAAGGGTGGGATTAACTTGGCTGGGAAACAGGGAAATGTAAATATCTCTTTTGTTACACTTGATGGGTGTTTGGTGGAGGGCAACGGGAACCATGGGGCAGGGTCCAGGATGCTCAGATTACTGCCACCAGACCTCCCCTTTCATGATGTAACCATGATGTATTAGTGATGTAGTTTGAGGGGGTGTGACATTGGGATGCGGGTGGCGCTGTGGGTTAAACCACAGAGCCTAGGACTTGCCGATCAGAAGGTTGGCGGTTAGAATCCCCGTGACAGGGTGAGCTCCTGTTGCTCAGTCCCTGCTCCTGCCAACCTAGCAGTTCGAAAGCATGTCAAAGTGCAAGTAGAACAATAGGTACCGCTCCTGCGGGAAGGTAAACAGCATTTCCATGCACTGCTCTGGTTTGCCAGAAGCGGCTTAGTCCTGCTGGCCACATGACCCGGAAGCTGTAAGCCGGCTCCCTCAGCCAATAAAGCGAGATGAGCGCCACAACCCCAGAGTCGTCCGCAACTGGACCTAATGGTCAGGGGTCCCTTTACTGGACCTAATGGTCAGGGGTCCCTTTACCTTTACCTAACATGGGGATTAGCAGCTAATAAAAGTTTGTGGGCTCTTTTGTTCAGGGCTTCCACCTTGTTCCATCTTGTGGCAGGTGGGAGTCCTGTTGCGACAGTCTTCAATAAAGACCAAACCTACTGGCTACTGTTTTGCTCTGGTATTCCTGGCTGGTGTCCTTGTTTTTTGTCCAAGGGAGCCCTCGGATTTCTCTGTTAACAAGGTCCAGCACTGTGGCATGACTCTCTGACAAGCCCAGAGCACCAGTGCCGTGCCTGTGTGTGTGTGTGACATTACACACACGCAACGCCTGCCCCCCCAATGCTGGGCGCAACTCGTTGTCTCTGGTTCCCTGATAACAGATGCTTTCCGAAGCCTTCTTGCTGCTAAATCCAGAGTTTCCCTATCCTTAAAGAATCCAAAAATGGCTTTTGCTGTCCTTTAATAGTGCTCCTGCCAGCTTTCTGTGGACACCTGTTTGTTGTAGTAGTTTTGTTCTTGATGTGGGTGTTTTCTGAGGTGGGGTTGCTCAAAACAGGAAATAGAGGTACGGACTGCCAGGGGACAGCTTGATTATGCAAACTCTGGATTTTTTGGGAAGTCTAAGTGGGCCCTATAGTTTAAACCAGGGGTAGGCAACCTAAGGTCAGTGGACCGGATGCGGCCCAATCGCCTTCTCAATCCGGCTCACAGAAGGTCCGGGAATCAGCGTGTTTTTACATGAGTAGAATGTGTCTTTTTATTTAAAATGCATCCCTGGGTTATTTGTGGGGCCTGCCTGGTGTTTTTACATGACTAGAATGTGTGCTTTTATTTAAAATACAGTGGTACCTCGGGTTACAGACGCTTCAGGTTACATACGCTTCAGGTTACAGACTCCGCTAACCCAGAAATAGTACCTCGGGTTAAGAACTTTGCTTCAGGATGAGAACAGAAATCGTGCAGCGGCAGCAGCAGGAGGCCCCATTAGCTAAAGTGCTGCTTCAGGTTAAGAACAGTTTCAGGTTAAGAACGGACCTCCGGAACGAATTAAGTACGTAACCAGAGGTACCACTGTACATCTCTGGGTTATTTGTGGGGCATAGGAATTCATTCATTCTACACACACCCCCGCAAAAAAAAATATAGTCTGGCCCACCACGTGGTCTAAGAGATGATGGACTGGCCCACGGCTGAAAAAGGTTACTGCCCCCTGGTTTAAACAAAGGGAAAGCAACCAGGAAGTCGAGATCTGCATTGTGTTCTCTATTACAGACGAAGGAACAGATCAAATACATAGCCACCAAATGGCACAGAAAATGTATGCTTCCTTCCTCCCGCCTTAGCACTGCTACATCATGGGTTATTTTCCATGCACATGCTGTTCTCTCTACATTCAGTGCTTGAGAGTGTCAAACTAGGACTGTCGAGTCCAGCTTTCGAATTAACACAGGCATGAAGCATCTTGGGCTACTCACCATCTCTCAGCTTTCCCTACCTCACAGGTAGAGGATAGAATCCAGTAGTGATGTATGGAAGTGAGAGCTGGACCATAAAGAAGGCTGATCGCCAAAGAATTGATGCTTTTGAATCATGGTGCTGGAGGAGACTCTTGAGAGTCCCATGGACTGCAAGAAGATCAAACCTCTCCATTCTGAATGAAATCAGCCCTGAGTGCTCACTGGAAGGACAGATCCTGAAGCTGAAGCTCCAATACTTTGGCCACCTCATGAGAAAAGAAGACTCCCTGGAAAAGACCCTGATGTTGGGAAAGATTGAGGGCACAAGGAGAAGGGGACGACAGAGGACGAGATGGTTGGACAGTGTTCTCCAAGCTACCAGCATGAGTTTGACCAAACTGCGGAAGGCAGTGGAAGACAGGAGTGCCTGGCGTGCTCTGGTCCATGGGGTCACGAAGAGTCAGACACGACTAAAGGACTAAACAACAACAACAGAGGATAGAATGGTGGGGCGATAGGCAGAAAAAACACACGTTTTTGCTCCTTGGAGGAGAAGCAGGAAATAAATAAAGTTGAATGGGCCAGAGAGAGAAGGATATTCATTTCGTTTACAAGTTGCTTCTCATGAACCGTCTCGGAGCAATTTTAACAATATCATGAATAGCCAGGAGTGGTTTTGAGCAAATGCAGCTGCATACATTTAAGCTTTGTTTCATATGGGGATTTATTTATTTTTTATTAGGGGTAAAATTATTGTTGCATTCGGTTTCTTGTTATGGGTAACGAAACAGAATGGTGCACGTTATATCTCTAGCAATAGCGCTGGACTGAATTATATGTTCAAGACAGGATCCTGCTCCCCCAAGATGCTATATACCATGTCAGCAAAGCAGGAACAGCTTGTCCCTCAACAGGCAGCTCACAAAGAATTAGAAACAGCTACGGTAAATTAAGGCTGCATGCAAACCATACATTCAAAGTGCTTCCCGCAAACTGGGAACTCAGAGACCTACAATTCCCAGGACATTTAACAAACTAGAGTTGGCGATGTTCTTTTGGGGAAGCCTTGTAATTTAAGTATGCTTTAAAGCTATGGTGTGTGTGTGTGTGTGTGTGTGTGTGTGTGTGTGTGTGTGGAATGCCCTCCCATCAGATGTCAAAGAGATAAACAACTACCTGACATTTAGAAGACATCTTCAGGGAAGTTTTTAAAAGTTTCCCTAAACAGGGCTGCCTTCAGATGCCTTCTAAAAATCTGGTAGTTGTTGTTCTCTTTAACATCTGGTGAGAGGGCATTCCACAGGGCAGGTGCCACTACCAAGAAGGCCCTCTGCCTGGTTCCCTGTAACTTGGCTTCTCGCAGAGAGGGAACCGTCAGAAGGCGCTCGGCACTGGACCTCAGTGTCCGGGCAGAACGGTGGGGGTGGAGACGCTCCTTCAGGTATACTGGATCGAGGCCATTTAGGGTTTTAAAGGTCAGCACCAACACTTTGAATTGTGCTCGGAAACATACTGGGAGCCAATGAAGGTCTTTCAGGACCGGTGTTATGTGGTCTCGGCGGCCGCTCCCAGTCACCAGTCTAGCTGCCGCATTCTGGATTAGTTGTAGTTTCCGGGCCACCTTCAAAGGTAGCCCCACATAGAGCGCATTGCAGTGGTCCAAGCGAGAGATAACTAGAGCATGCACCACTCTGGCGAGACAGTCTGCGGGCAGGTAGGGTCTCAGCCTGCGTACCAGGTGGAGCCATAATGCTTCTGAATACCAGTTGCTGAAAACCACAGGAATGGTGATTTTCATACAAAGCACTTGCTCTGCTGGTATCTCACCATTTTGTTGTCTTAGGATCTGTAGCGTGCGAACGTTTTCTTTTTTAAAGAAATAATCATGTGCCACCCTGGCATTCAGGTGCGTTCAGACAGAAAGTGTGGTACATAAAGAGAAAAACATATATCTTGCAAATGAGCAAGATAGCAAGCAGGAAAAAAGCAGCACCTATCTTATCTAGAATAGAATGGACCCTGCAACACAGGGCTAGGCAGCAGGGTACCTTTCAGATGTTTTGGACTCCAATTCCCATCAACCCCAGCTAGAATGGCCAGTATTTGAGAATGATGGAAGCTGTAGTCCAATGCATTGGTAGGGTACCATATTGGCTACTCCTGCTGCAAAAGGAGGCCCCTGAAACATGCTAATGCTTGGAGTCTTATTCGGGATTTTTATTTTATTTTTGCCCTTGGATCAAAAACGGACTATTGGTCTTGGGGGGGGTATGTATGTATGTGTATGTGTGTGCTATTCATGAAATGGCTTTCCCATAAGGGATACAGTTAACCGCTGGCTCACCATCTTTGTCATTTTAATGAGGCAGCCCTTGCAAAGTGCTTAATGATCCATAAAAATTCAGAGCATTTTTGCCAGAGACCTCTCTCTCTCTCTCTCCCCCTCTCGCCTCCCCAAGCCTGCTCTGCTTGAACAAATCCCAGCCGAACAATCCTCAAGCAGCAAACAGCAACCTGGAGTCAATAGTTTTAGCTCTCTATGGCGCATAGTTGCCGGTAAGCCCCTCAATGGGCATTGTGCGGTCCATGCAAGGACAACTCACCTCCTCCACCATCCCTTACACATGCAACTTGGAACCACTTCTGACCTGGGACAAATAGCAGCTTTCTGGGGTGAGTTTCACCAACTGAGGACTAAAACACTGAAGACAGAGAGGGTTAATCCTCCTGGCCCTGCCCATGTGCTAGAGTCCTGGTCCTGTTTTCTCTCCCTGCAGCTGATGTTTTTAATTGAACAAATCCGTTAAATGTGATCATGCATTTGGACTCCATATACTTAAAGTACAGTAGTTTGGTTCTTGGTTGGTTACTGCCTCTAGAGTACAAGGAGAATACACAATGCAAAACACACACGCCAAATTGGTGGAATAACATCTTTGTTTGGACGAACTAGGGTTTGGAATGCTGCGGGCAAGCTTTTGAGTCACACAGGTCTCCCCATCATGTGAAGTATTTGACGGGTGGAAAGAAGAGAGAAAGAAAAGAAAGTGGATGTTATTGTACCAAATAATATCTTCTGCCCACTCTGAAAAATGTTTAAGTCCCTTGAAATAAAAAAAAAATTAAGGTCTTATATATATATATATATATATATATATATATACACACATATAAAATAAATGTTCATAAATGTACCAAGCAAACACGTACATAAATATATAAACCACATGTCTGAAGCAGCACAGGAAAACAACCATGAAGCCATTTTGCCTCCCAAACTGACCAAATGTTTTCTCTGCAAAGTCAAAGGAAAATGGAAAAGCCTCCCCATTGTCTTTTCCTTCACAAATCCTGTCTTACAGTAAGGGTATGTATGTATATGAATAGGGTGAGCCTGTGACCTGGCTCAGGAACCAAGTATTTATCATTACAAAAGACTGGCCAGGCTCCCCAGGGTATCCAATCAAGTAAGCATTAACAGGTAACCTGCCAGACAGGAGGTAAACAACGCACTCAGATTTCTGTTGTAGACCACCCCTTTCTGTGATGTAGGTATGGTGTGTCTGCAGGGTGGTCTTGAGCTACACCCTTTCTGTGATACGTATGATGTTTCTGGGGGTGGTCTTGGACTCCAGGGCAGGCAATTTAAAATGTCTATATAAGGGTGGGCACACCTAGGTTCTGGGTCTCCTCCTCCTCCCTGTTGCAACAGTTCAATAAAGACTAGGCTTACAAGCTGCTTTGCTTCTCAATATTCTCTGGTTGGCCTCTGTTCTTTTCTCTGACCGATGGAGAACCTACAAAGGACTCTATAAGGGCTCTTGTGTCCCCCATAAGGAATAAGGGCAGATTTTCGTTTATTACACCCTCAAATAAGGTGCTGTGGGGTTGTTATTGTTGTTTTGGGGGATACAGTTTGCTTTATCAAATTACAGACAACCAATGGCTGTCAAGGCTTTATGTAACACAACCCTCAGAACACAAAGAAGGAAATGTCAAACATACCTTTGAAAACACAAACTTTTTAAAGGAGTAACCAGTGGTGGTACTATTATCATCATAAATAACTATGGTTTGTTTCATAGTTCAGTAACACTTGTGTGCAGGGTGTCCTAGGTTCAGTTGCTAATAACTCTAGTTAAAGGGCTATCAGGTAGTTGCTTGAGATTTTGCAGACTCACTGCCCATCAAGAGGCAATACTTAGCCTGATGGAACAATGAAAGCGAAAGCTTTATAATCTTTACCCGTATTTTTCGCACTATAGGGCGCACCGGCCCATAGGGCGCACCTAGTTTTTTTGGGGGGGGAAATAAAGAAAAAAAAAATTATTTCCCCCCCAAGCGTGGGGCTGGGGCGGAGGAAGCCAGAACAGGCTGCTGTCCACAAGCCTGGGGGGGCCCAGCGGGAACTCCCGCCGGGCTCCCCAGGCTTGCAGATATCTGCCCGAAGCCTGGAGAGCGAGAGGTGTGCACCGACCCCTCTCGCTCTCCAGGCTTCAGCGAAAGCCTGCATTCGCCCCATAGGACGCACACATATTTCCCCTTCATTTTTGGAGGGGGGAAAGTGCGTCCTATAGGGCGAAAAATACGGTAGTTTGTATGTATCATTTCTGAGAGCCAATGTGGATGCAGGTGGAGCTGTGGTCTAAACCACTGAGCCTCTTGGGCTTGCCAGTCAGAAGGTCGGAGGTTTGAATCCCTGCGATGGGGTGACCTCCCATTTCTCTGTCCCAGCTCCTGCCAACCTAGCAGTTCGAAAGCATACCAATGCAAGTAGATAAATAGGTACTGCTGCGGCGGGAAGGTAAACGGCATTTCCTTGCGCTCTGACTACCGTCACGGTGTTCCGTTACTCCAGAAGCGGTTTAATCATGCTGGCCACATGACCTGGATAGCTGTCTGTGGACAAACGCCAGCTCCCTTGGCCTGAAAGCTTGATGAGCGCCGCAACCCCATAGTTGCCTTTGACTGGACTAAACCATCCAGGGGTCCTTTACCTTTACCTTTTCATAGCAACATTATAATACAGTGGTACCTCGGGTTAAGTACTTACCGTAATTTGTTCCAGAGGTCCGTTCTTAACCTGAAACTGTTCTTAACCTGAAGCACCACTTTAGCTAATGGGGCCTCCTGCTGTAACCGTGCCGCCGGAGCACGATTTCTGTTCTTATCCTGAAGCAAAGTTCTTAACCTGAAGCACTATTTCTGGGTTAGCAGAGTCTGTAACCTGAAGTGTATGTAACCTGAAGCGTATGTAACCCGAGGTACCACTGTATAGGCTTCAGATTCGGGTTAACCATGTTCAAACATCCACACCTCTGTTAAACTGCATGCTCAGAGGACAGACATTGTCTCAAGAGATGGTTGTGAGGCTCAAATGCAGCGAGAGAACCCCGTTCCTTGCCACCCTGAACTCCTCAAAGGAAGGATGATATCCAATTTTTTTAACAGACAAATTTAATCCACTAAAAGTGTTGCTTTGTGGAATGCTTTTGCAGTGCCAATCAGAGTGGGGGCCAGGAGGGCATTTAGCCCGGGCAGCCTCAGGCTCCAATGGGACCTCGGATTCAGACACCTGTTAATTTTTTGGTGTTTAATAAGCTTCACAACTTGCTTTTATGTGCATCAGATTAAAACATGACATACTTCCTAAGCTTAAAGCTGCAAATTAAAGCAAATAAGAGGTGTGACTTGTTAAGAGACAATCTTTCTTTCTTTCTTTTTTTGGTTATATGATATAGATTTTGTCATATCCTTAATACCAACTGTGATATTGCATGAAAGTGAGATTTTTCCTCAATAATTAGTGCATTTGCACAGAAAAGGGGTAGAAATTCGTTTGTTGAATCAAAAAAAACAAAGCACCTCTTACTCTTTTCTTTTTTTCAGCGACTTATTTAGTTTTTAAGTGCTGACATTTTTATTATTATTATAATGGCTAGGGGGCTCAAAAACTGAGAGTGCCTGTGCTGTTGCACAGGGTTCCAGTTGTCCAGCTATACTTGAGCTCTTTGGTGGAAGAATTATATACAAATCGAGTTTATGGACAAACAAGTGAGACCTGCAACAAAATGTTGCAGTATGTTGTTTTTTTTAAATGATATTTATTGGAAAAAAATTTAAAGTTACACAAGAGAACAAAATAGAAAAAGAAAAAAGAAAGAGCAAAGAAAAAACAAACCACATCAAACAATACAAATTGAAAAAAAACAAAAATACACCACAAACATTTAAAAACAAATCCATTATTCTCAAATCCTCCACTGTCATTACCTTCTTTCTTTGACCTCCTCCTCCTCCCT